AAAAAAAAAAAAAAAAAGGACCTTTTCCCCTTTTCTCCCTCCCTCCCCCCAAAAAAGACAAAGGCTCACACAGACACATTGGGATATATATGTACAACATAATAAACCCCACCCTAAAGAAGCAACTGTATATCCAAAGGGATACAGAATCAGAACTGTAAAAATCATAGTGAAGTTTGCTTGATGTAAAGCCTGAGATTTTCAGTTGGTTCTTCTGCAAGGCTGTGACACCTGCCAGATATGTTAAAATCTAATTTTTATTTCTTTTTCTCTTTTTCTTTCTTTATTTTGCTACAGTCTTTAGACTAAGCATGCAAGACATACAACTAAGTGCAACTGAGTGAAATGTATTTTTTATTTACTCATTCCCTAACAGTTTGAACTGAGGTATGCGTACTAACAGTTTCTCATGCTGTTATCTTTACTCATGTCTAGCTACACATGCTGAGAATGAACTAATCTACCAGATTTTTATCCTCTTTTGAATACCGAACTAACCAGCGAACCACTCAGTTTAGAAGCACAGGGACCACTTCTCATGATCCCCATCTGGCTACTGCCGGCACATCATGAAGCTGCCTGGATATAATTAAAAAAAAAAAAAAAAAGTTTCAAATGACCACAGACTGCCCTTTTTTTCCCTCCTTTTCTTTTCTCTCTTTTAAAAACAGAATGCAGAGTTGAGCTTCAGAAAAGTAACTGCCAATAAAATTTCTTGTACCAAAGCTTATGTGTGGACAGGAGTGTTATTTCCTTATGAAAAATGCTGATCAAAAACTAAACAAAACTCAGCAAATGTGCCAAGGTAAACCAAAATTAAAGCAGTCGTTTTAGCACAATCCTTAAACAAAAGTGGCATACAATCTGTAAAAACAAAGACCCCAAAAATATTTTTTTTTTTTTAATTCTAGGAATACTATTATGTGGTCCAGTAAAATTGTGGGAGCTTTTCTGTTCTCTTTTGTATTTTATTAAACTGTCTCCTTTATTTGATACTCCAATTTTCTGCAAAATAACTGCACTTGCTTTCTCCAGCTCCCTTCTTATGGCTCCCCCGTAACACTGTTTCCTAGTTTTAGTCTCAAAAGCTCTTCTCGATTTCTCTTTACAGAATTTCGGTTTGGTCGCTGTAAAGGAATACGAATAAAAAGTAACTTTGGTTCAGTCATCTGCTTGGCCATCTAAATTTACTAGAATAAAGGAGCAGTTTCCCTCTCAGGTTAGCAATAGCCCATATCTTGTCATTTCCCTCTAAATTCTTCAACCTCCCTTGATCAACAATAAGAGGATATTTGGCTTCATAAGATAAAGCATATAATAGAGAACATAATTTACCTTTGTGTAATATCTTTGGTAATTTTAGGGGGGGAAAGGTACAAAGAAGAATATAAATTAAGCTCTGAAAGGCTTTTTTTGAAATAATAATTAAACAAAAAGCTACAGTCCTACATAAATAAATGAGTGACAGAAAAGTGGTTGCAGAATGAAAGCGTTTAGGTGTTTGGTGACTGAGGTGTACTGACCTGTAACAACAGCTTTCTGTATGTAATGTTTGCTTTGAAGAGCACTGCCAGTTTTACCAAACAAGCCCCAGTGCTATTTCCTTCCCTCCCATCCCACTGTTTACTGTTTTCTACTGTGAGGTTTTGATACTGGCTGGTGTAATATTGCATAATAATCTTAACTGCAGTACAGAATTTGCACAGTTGAAATTATTAACACTTTAGCATTAGTGGGCTCAGTCCTTATTAACTGCCATAACAAGTTCAATCTGAAATCTAATTTGTATTCGAACAGATTAATGCCACCAAGCAATCCTGAACTGATGTTTAACTGAGAAACATCGCCACGTATTACAACAGTTTAATGAAGTCATCTTTCCAACCACTATTCGCAAATGAAAAATAATAATAAATGTATAGGTACCCATCTTGGTAATCTTAGATATTCCAGAAAGATTTGTTGGCCCATTAAAACTCATGTTAAACAACTGAGAGCCTGCCACTGTAGTATTCATTCTCTAATGAAGTGAATTCTGTTGGTGCTGCATATGTTTCTTTGTGCTGTTCAATTTTGTGGCATTTGCTAATATTCACCCCATTGCTGCCAAAAAAATCAAAAACCAAAACCAAAAATAAAAAACCCCCTGCTTTGTGGAATGAATTTATGTTGCTTCCTACAGTATTTTTGTGTTCATCTGTCATTCATTCTCATTCTTACAGTACTTCTCTCTCTCTCTCTCTCTCTCTCTCTGTGTTGGACGACCCTTCGGCGTGTACAGTGCAGCATTTGGGACCTTTTCAAAAAAACAGACACCAAAATGGAATGTTTTCCATAGCTAAAGAAAACATGGTGGCATCTGAAGGAGACTGGAATGAATGACGGAAAAAACTACAAACAATTCAATGACATTCAGCTTCGTATAATAAAAACACCTATTAACATTCATCACAAAGTACAGAAAACATTAGGCCTTCAAAAGGCCCTGGGCCGAGATGTGGCCTGAGGTCAGAACTTAAAATGGTAGAGCAGAAGGGGTGGGGGGGGGGGGGGGAAATAAAAGCAATACATTAAAAAGTTTGGGATAATATTTCTTGTAACCCCTCGCCAGTACACATACACACACACACACACACGCGCGCGCACACACACATGCCTTCCCCATCCCAAATGGAAGCAAAAAAAAAAACAAAAAAAGGAGTAAAGGCAGTGATAACCAACATGCAGTACTGTGCAAATATGTTGTCCATTGGAATCCTTAAAATCTGGGCAAAGGCTTGATCTGCAGTTTAGATGTACATGCTCAGAGTTTGATGTCCTCAGTGTCCAAAATTGGCAGGACTGCAGTCCAAAACCTGCTGCTAAATGTGAGTAAGTGAATCAGTTTAGCAAATTTACAACACTGATGTTGACTGTAAGAGAGGAAAATCCCAAGTACCAAACAAGTCCATCCAATGCACAGAGTACAAATTCCTTTTTTCAACAAAAAGTAGAAAAATCAAAAATACTCCCAAATGGGATACTTGATGGCACTAAGAGTTAACATATTTCATAGTTGTCAAAGTGTACTGAAAATCCTCCAGACTGTACAATAATGGAGAGATTTCACAGCTAAATTTGACGTGTTTTTCCAATCTTCATTCTCAGGATAATGACGTCAGACATACTCATTCTATGTCCTCATTTACAGGTTCATCTTCATAATCTCTGTCATGATCAAAATCTGGACTGTGATTGGCTGTTGTCACTAAGGATAGCGGGCCTTCGTTTTCGTCTGGATCCAACGGTTCTTCTTTGACATGCACAGGGTGCCTAGGAAAATTAAAACAGTCAATCAGCAACTTCCCTGTTTAAAAATGACTTTGTCCTGCTGTGGCAATACTGACATTTTTGGGAGAAATTGAAGGCCTGATTTCCAGAGATGCTGAGCACTGCGCAGCCCTGATTAACTTCTACAGGAGTTGTGGGTGCTCAGCACGTATGAAATGCAGGCCCTGAACTTTTGGGTTTGCTGCTAAAGAAAAAAAACCACCAAAAAGTGTATGTCTCAGAATGTGCCTACAATTACTTAGCTTCAGTGGGAACATATCCTGGGAGGAGCACTTTCTTATATATGGTTTATTCACAGGATTTAGAGAATATACTCTCAACTGACGTATTAAGTTGATTAACACAATCTTCAGCTAAATAAGTGAAATAAGCATAGTAAAGCAAAATAGTGGTTTGTCAACCCACTGAGCTGGTGGAGGCTGGGCTAATCATGGCTTGCTGTGTGTTCTGCTTTTCTAGTTAACATGCAGAACCTGTGAGAGAACTCTCCAGAGGACGACCCCAAGCGAGGTTCTATCATTAATCAACTTCAAGCAAACACAGCAAAGAGACACCATGATACATGCTTTAAACTCCAAATTAATGCATATTTTTACAAACTGTCAATAAGGGAAGAAAAGCTCTGCCAGGAAACACAAACGGAGAGGAAAAGGCTCGCTCAACACAACAATATGATAAGAAAGCAAAGCCCTAACGAGAATAATAACACTGTCAGCTGTAAACAAGGCAGAACATGATCCTCAGCTCATGGTGGGCACAAGGATGCACTAAAGAGATGAGATCTGCCAAATTTCTCATTATAGAATAGCACATGAATAACCCGCAGGGGAATGTGGGTTGGTCATTCCAAACGGGTATGATAACAATTGAAAAATGTTGTTCGTAAATCGTATTTACAACAAACCCTTTACAAATACAAATTACTTTTTTTGTTCAGTAGCTTTTGATATGTAAAACAGCCATGTGAGTCAATACTGTCTTGTTGGTGGGACTTCATAGGAAAGTAGGATTTTATTGACATTATCAAGTATTAATAACGCGACACGCCAATGGAGACCCTGTTTGCTTCCTAAATAATTGATATTGCAGGCAATCCCTTAAAATAAAGTGTTAATGAGTTCAAGTCCCATTCTGTTTCTCGTTGAGTTGCTATCCACCTCCCACAGTCTGGGTTGTTCTCTAGCCAGCCTGATTTAACCCTTTCATGTAGGCTATGTAAAGAAAGACTTAATCATAAGTGCAAACATTCCTGGTTAAGAACTTTTTTCTTCTTACAAAGCATCAGGTTACAATAAAAGGTTTAAAATCATTACCCTTCACTTTATAATTCTGGCTAGATGGGAATGAAAATGCTTTCTGTTTCACTCGCCTGCACATAATACAGAAAAAAACATATTTTCAAACTAAGGATCCAATCCTCGTTTCTGAACTAGTGGTGAACACGATTGCCTATCTTGTAAACTCAGTTGTTGCGCATGGATGTGCAAGGAAAAGAGCCAATGCAGCAAGACAAGCGTGTAATAACAACGCCACCACCACCTACCTCTTATATAGTGCTTTGGATCAGTAGATCTTAACGTGCTTTAACCAAGGAGCTCAGTATCTTTATCCCCATTTTACAGATGGGGAAACTGAGGCACGGGGAGGCAAAGTGACTTGTCCTAGGTCACCTAGCCAGGACCATCTTTTTGCTTTGTGTTTGTACAGCACCTAGCACAATGGGGCCCTGTTTCATGACTAGGACTCAAAGATGCTACAGTAATATAAATAAAGATGAATAATGGTGGCAGATCTGGGAATGAAACCCAGGTCTCTTGAGTCCCAGTCCAATGCTTTATACACTAGCCCACAATGTGTATTCACATGTGTTACCAGAAGGCAGGACCCTTTGGGAGCCCCTGACTGGGCTGAATGAGAAAATTATGTTCTGCAGCCAGCAAACAAGCCAAAGAGAAACTTGTATATTTCAAGCTATGTGATATCTTTGCAGGCAAACCACCTAGTAAACATGTACTTCAAAAGTCATGATACTCTAGATATTGGTTTCAGTTTGAAACTGGATTAGGTTTGGAAGCATCCACCTGGCTGACTACACAGATTTCTAGTATCAGCTGTGAATGCCTTTCAATCCCACTTCAACTTCTTGAGTTGCAAAACTAACTAGATCAGTATGTGGGAATTAGCTACACCTTGCATCCCATCCTGTATAGGAACAGCAGGGAGAAATGATCCCATCACAGAGGCATATATTGAACACATTTATTTATTTTTTCAGTTTATGAAAATGTGCCATATCAGCATGTCTCTGGGGGCGTGTGCAATACATAGTGAAACACACATTAGCCACTGATCTCTGGACCTGGGTATAGGACAGGGATTGGCAACCTTTGGCATGTGACCCACCAGGGTAAGCCCCCTGGCGGGCCGGGCTGGTTTGTTTACCTGCCGCATCCGCAGGTTCGGCTGATCGCGACTCCCACTGGCCGCGGTTCGCCGTTCCAGGCCAATGGGGGCTGCGGGAACCCGCGGCCAGCACATCCCTCGTCCTGCGCCGCTTCCCGCAGCCCCCATTGGCCTGGAGCAGCGAACCACGGCCAGTGGGAGCTGCGATCGGCCAAACCTGCGGATGCAGCAGGTAAACCAACTGGCCTGGCCCGCCAGAGTGCTTAGCCTGGTGGGCCGTGGACCAAAGGTTGCCGATCCCTGGTATAGGATCTCCTAAAAGTAAACATATACTTCCACCACACCCAGGCAAACATCTATGAAAACAGATGGGCCTCACACTATGTCCTAAAATGTCAACACACTCATTATTTGACGGACCAGTGGGAAGCAAATCCCCCAGTTACTAGTGAAAATACCCCCACACACTGGCCCCTGATTTTTTTCTATTTAGGACCTCAGCAGAGCTCAGCTGTCACAAGGAGAGAGGTGGTTTTTCAGATAGTTTAGTTTTGACACAACCGTGGAAGAATAGAGAAATGCACATGGGAGAAGACTCAAAACAAGTTGTTAGGAATCAGGGCCTGATCCAGCAAAGCCCATAAGAAGTCTCACTGAAGTCAATGGGGATAATCACATGTTTAAAGTTAAGCATGTGCTAAGTGCTTTGTTGATTGGGACCTGAGACAACACACAAAGAGATCAATTATATTTCTAACTAGAATACACCAGTGTTATGATCATGCACTGGGCTTTTTCTGGGTGAGAATTTGAAAAAAAAAGAGCAAGTGATTTCTACATTCCTTTACACTGATGGCGGTAATATTGATTATTGTATTCATTTAAAAGTCTTGCTCATTGTGTTTTTGTCTTTGCTGCCATTTTGGTTTTAAATATTGTTTTTTGTTATTTGTGAAAAATGAATACAGGTCGTTCTTTCAAAAGTAAGGACACGTTGATGTTTTATGAACCTGAAGTGGTGATGGCGGGAGGGCTTCTTCCTCTGGTCGTGGAATTTCCCAGGCTATTGTTCACATGTTAAAGTGCCAGCACATCTAACCAGTCTATTAGGCTTATGCACTATCACCAAGCTCTAACAAAGATGTGTCAGCAGATAGGGTAGACACTGGCTGCACCTGTGTAATTGTTAAGTATCTCAAAAACAACAGTCCTTGTATATACTTGATCGGTCTCATTTCCAATCAGCATAATAGTTTCTTAGGCCAAATCTGGTTTAGTTTGTCCCCAGGGCATTAGATGCAGCAGAACTCATGCCGTTTTGCTTTGGAGATTTGGGGGTGGGAAGAGCTGGGGATGCCGATGCACGTTAATGCATAACTTGCCTACTGCGCTGTTGTGCTCTATGAGGTCAACCTGCATGCCACCACAGAAAAGGATCTAGGGTGTGGCCAGGTAGTTGGAGCCACAACTACACAGAAAAAGAGGTTGCACAAAAGCCATGGTGGCTGCTAAAGTCTTGTGGCTACAGTAATGGATGGTGGGTGACTATCTTTCCCCCTCTTCCTGGTTCCATGGATTTCCCCAGGATATGCCTTTCAATTTGTAGAAATGTTTGAAAATTTCATTAGGAAATCCAAGATCAGGCCAAACTCACCTGCTTTAATGCAAAACTGAAACACAATCCAGGTTTTTCCAAAAGGTTCTTGAACCTTTCCAAAGCAACCACAGGACAGCTCATGGTTTTGTTTTGAAAGCGTGTGAAACCGAGTGGTTTTGACTGAGTTTCACTTTGAGGTTTGGGTTTGTCCCCTGAAGTACTTTACAAAGCACTGGGGATGCAAAGCCAAGTGAATGGAAACCAGTGAAAAGGACTGAATGAGTCCAAGTAAGACAAAGCTAGAGAGAGTCCCAAAGCTCTAATATCATGCCTATATAGCCCACCTTCCCCCGGGTACTTAAGGTTGGGTAAATGTCAAAGGAGTGAAAGTCCAATTTGAAGGAATCATCTCCCCAAATTAGTATGTTTATCTGAACTATCCAAACTTCAAGCAGAAAACTTGCATGGAAAACAAACTAAAGCACAATCCAGCCCCTTGTGTGGTATTTTGGTGGTAGCAGCAAACTGGCATGTGAAAATGAAAACCCACTGATTATTATTCAAACACCTCAAAACTACCAGCTATGTTCAGTGTAAAGAGGTTAGTGTTCAGAGATGGGGAGATTTTTATAATTTTCCAAACCAGTTTGAATCCCTATTTAATACATCTCATAAATGGAATCTGTCTTTTTTGTTTAGTAGCAGAATTTTAACACATTTCATTTAACTGGAATGTCTAAGGCTTCAGAAGGGGTTAACAATAAATAACCTTACCGAACACAGATTTCCCTTCTTTTCACATTTGAGTAATTCTTTTGTTTGTCCACTCTGGGAACAGAGGACTTTTTAATAAAGCTGACTGTTGTTTAAAGCCACTGTGTTCTGGTGGTGCACACAGCATGGAATAGTTTGCTTTGTGGCTACCTTTGGAGCATATCAGGATGAAAGTGTTATGTCCCCAAGCTGTAATTATGTGACTACTTTCTAGTGTTTCAAAAAGGGGGGGGGGGAGAGTAGCAGTAGTTCAATGTGTCATAAAAAGGAAAGAAATGAATGGTAATGAGACTTCAGCTAAAGTGTTGTACTTGCTTAGTTGTCATGTTAACAAGGTCTTCTAAACCTTATGATAAAGTTTAAGGCTTGATTTATTCCAATATACTGGAACTGTTAAAAAACAATTTGCATTATGGCAGAGAAGCGTGTTTTGGAAAAGAATAGAGAATGTCATTATAAAGTGTACTTAATGGAAATAAGATATTGCAAAGAGTAACTGTCTATGACACTGATAGTCTGCACTGGAAATCTGATGTTGACATATAATTATATTTAGCAAACAGTGTAAACCCTGTGACGTTTGAACAGCATCCTGCTTCATGGCCTTTCAAAGTATTTCAAAACACTTGTTTAATGGGAAAGCCCACAAGCTGCTATCAGGGCATACACCTTGCTGCATTTTTACTTATACAAAAGGAAATATTCAGTACGGAACACACAGTATCCATTTGAGAATATGGAATCATTCAGGAAACAATCATTTTCATATTACAACACAAAAAGGGTTTTTCTGGTGGATGATGACAGTGAGAATCTTTCTCTCTCGTATTTCTGAGGTGCCTCTCACCTTGGTATCTAAGTACTAAATAAGGGGTACTAAATGCAGTAAAGGCCACAGCTATGCATATGGTTCTAGAAAATGTGCTACCCTGCTTTTCACTTACTGTTACACTTCCCGCCCCATACTCCCTTCAAAAACAATGAAATCTTAGGTGAAAGAAGAAATACATGAACTGAACTAGCCCTGAGCCTTAAAAAAAACAAACCATGGATGAAAGGAAATTTATAAACATTCATTTCTGTATGTTAGTCCAGGATTCTTGAAAAAAATTCCATCTCCTCCTCCTCCTCCACTAAAACCCTACGTGGGCATGGGCAGAGTATAACCAATTGTGACTAAAACTGCCTGAAGAGGAATCCATTTGTGATAGCACTAACAGTGTGTCACGTAACGCTACTTTGGGAAAGATAATTAATACTGCACAAACAATCACTGTAAAAGCTAAACACATTATTCAAATGTTTTGAAGTAAATGGTAAAAGACAATGTTCAAATTAATTATGAATTAAAAATGAATGTTGCCATCTTTAAAGATTATTTTTCAAAGCACACTGTGCACGGATTTAAAACGCTGGCATATCAAAGTATCCGGAGCTTTAGCTTCCTGCCCCTTTTCCCGCTCCCCCACATCATATTATGCAGGTGGGAAACTTTTTTTCTCTCCATTAAATGCTAATTAGTTTCATAACTAATTACTATGATGGTATTAGGTTAATGTTTTTCTACTTTTTGATTCAGACCTACTTTTGTAAATCCCGTATTCAAATTACTTTGAAGTAAAAGGTTACAAATTACTTGGGTTTTGGGGACTTTTTTCTTTTAATTTGCGCTTTGGTAACTCAGTCAATGATTTTACAGTCTATTTTAATGAACCGCTGGATAAGAGCACTGTGTTTCATCTATGTTTACTCACAGAAGTAGTCAGCCGCTCCAAATAAACAGTTTTTAAAATTTGAGAACTACGTGACTTATAAACTCGGCTTTCCTTTCCAGCTGCCAATTATCCCGTATATAATTTGGGGGCGAGAGGAGAATTTACAGCTTTGCAAACTCACTCAGTCACCCATAAATACTGAACACGCCCACAGGGGCAGCACACCATTCCTAGCTTATCCTTTCCTGTACTAGCATTCTGCCCTGGTGCCATTTAGATTTAGCATGGACAGTAATCGCCCATTACTTCATGTGGTTATATAGGCACTCGTTATATTGCCGTCTGTTGTTATAATGCTCCTATTAATTTTCCATTTGATATTTTAAGAGCAATCTATAAATCATGCATACCTTCACATGTGCCATCATTAATGCCGAGCAATACTGTTGTTTGCTGATTATTACTACAAACCAGCTAAACAAACTCATTCCCCCAGCTCCGCCCCGCCAAGCATGTTTACTGGGTAGTCTGAAGTAGAAACAAACAAAAACTTTTCATAAAGTTGCCTAAGAGTGTTTTTGTAGCTCTGTGGTCTGGGATCGAACGAAGAGAATGGCAAGTGAGTTAAGAATTTTATAGCTGTGTGCACTTGTCAGACTGGATTGAGTTGATTGGTTTTATGTGGAAGTTGGTAAATGACCCTTTTAGATTCTAATCAACCTAAATATTTTCAGAAGCTCAGACTTTTCCTTTTGCTGCCCAGGATTGGAACTTCAGACACAATCTTTGAAGAATATCACCGTTACATATTAGCAGACCCCTAAACAAACACACACGTATATGCTCTACTTACATTGCTTGCATAGGGGAACGTCCTGGACTACTGTCACTCTCATTACTGTTCGTATGCTCCATTGCACCATTAAGATCTTCCCTCATAGCATTGGCTAAATTGCCCAGAGTGGGGTTTCCCATGGAAGCAGTAGTGTATAGAGGTATACTATTATCAGCCATTGAAGCCTGCCAAGGACACAGAAAAAGTGTATGAAGAAGCATGTCTCACATTTTTATACACGGCACAACACAATCACATGTTCAAAAAACACTCTTCTCATTTACATGAGTTACAACTGCTGGGTTTAAAAATGTGTTTTCAAAAAGGTCGTGCACTGACTCCACCAGGGGAAATGTCACACGATTTGCATGAGCATTTAGGAGTTCAAAATGGAATGGACTGTTGGCGCACGAGAGGGGACAGTTCCTGCTATTCCCCATTTGGATATTACAACTCATGGAAAAAGCAAATTTACCTTTTCTACTTTCATGATAGCCTCAAAAATAATAGTGTTTCTTAAAAAAAAAAAAAGTTAAAAAAGCAATTAGAGCAAATTCACTTGATTGAGAATTCCTTTCTACCAGAGCACAAAACTGTCATGACATGACTGAGAAGTGATGTGTGAGCGGTTACAGAGGGTTACATTTTTCTCTTAGTTATGCCAGCGCAAATCCAGAGGAACATCACTGAAGCCAACTGAGTTACTCTAGATGTACACCAACATAACTGAAGTATGAACTCGTCCCTATAATATTTGCTGTGTTACTTTAGCATTGGTGAGAGAAATCTAACATTTAACAAGGCAGGGTAAATTAGGATGGCGTTTTCTATTTTTTAAATGCTCTGATAACCCTGATATTATCTTAGATATTGTAGATTTGATCCCATTCAGACATGATTCTATTTCTGATAAGTACTGTAATAGGCATGTTTTAGTCATCTTCTAAATGTAGGTCTTTGTAGAAAGGGAATAAACAGTTAAACCTTTTCCTTCGTATTCCAGATTTACTGGTTGCTAGTATTTATTCTATGCTCATGTTTGATCATTTTGACAGGGCTGTCCTATGATCAGCGAGTCAGGCTTGCAGCATGTTAAAACCTCTTCTGGGCCAGCACAATCCCATCATGTAGTGATGGGAATATAGCAACGTCAAGTCCTGACGTGAGAGGAGTTCGTTTGCTGGTCCGGGGGGGGGGGGGGGGTAGGGGTGTCTAAAAGGAAGCAACCCTTTGAAACCAAAAGACCATTTTACCCATCTGTGAACCAACGTCCATGGCTTTCTGAGACGTACCAGCACGGAAAGCCACAGATGCTGGCTCTGCAGTGGTCAACCTAATTCAGGGGAAAGGTCAGCCTCCTGCTACAGTCAAGCAAAAAGAATCCATCAGCACCACGGCTGCACGAGGCAAGACAGCCCAGGGGAGGGTAGTTCATGCAAATGAGCTTCCCACCTGGTGCTCTCTGCTGTTGCTGATTCTTGGGATGTTCCTCACTTGCTGCCATTATTGCTGTTCGAGCACAAATGTGCAAGAGGGAACGACCCAGCTACGAGCACAACCTCCCTTTTAATTCTCTCCCAGGCTGACCTCTCTAAACATCTGATCGCATGTGATCCTAAAAGCTACTCTGACAAAGAGGATTATTTTTATCTTTTTGATTCAACATGCAGCAAACTAATTTTGATTAAGGGAATGTAAAGATTGGCTCACATTTCCTGCAGTTTGCAAAATAATAAGGCACGCTCTTCCCCCATAGAGATAACTTGTAATTGCAATAAAGCAATTTATTTAGGAAGAGGTGGGACAGAAGAAGCACCTGATATAATTGTTTCTTGCAAACCACAATTCGGCAAATGGCCTGATTCTCTGCATAAGCAGGGAGCGATGGGTAGTTCGGAAGTGCAGGTCAGACTCGTTATCCAGAAACACTAGTAGTTTCTTGAACTCCTTTAGCTGGGAGGTCAGGCTGTGGACCTCTGAAGATGAGACTTTTCGCAGATTACTGGTGTTGCCTGGTTTTATCCATGATGGAAAAACACACTCTATTTGTGCTCAGAATATTGGTGCTTCTGGTCCCAGGTGGAGGCAGAAAGGGCAGAGGCACATCAACATTTTAAAATAACCCAGCAATGCTAACTGAACTGTTCAGAACCAGCCAGAAGGGTTAGGACCGCTTTCAGTGTTGGGAGAAGGTTTGGTCTGCCCTTACTTTATCCCTCAGTGCTGCTCACACTGGAGGTGAAAAGGGAGCAAACCCCACAGTTAACGAGTGGGGATGTTAATGTTTACCACATTACACAGGACAGACTCATTAGTCCTCTGTGCCTCATACCCTGCTCTACTCGTTCACACAGGAGCTTACACCACCAGGTCTGCAAGGAGAGTGTAATGGCGGTTGCTTCACCTTTGCCTGGGGTAGAGCACAGATTTCAAGAGTGCTCTTTGCTTAATCGGGCAAAATAGAGTGGAAGCACTGGATCTTCTGGGAGACCAACCAACACTGTCAGAACAGGGAAAAATGCTTCTAGGTCTCCCCCAGGACGAGACCTGGAATCCTTATACCCTCCACGCACAGAGAGGGGAAGAGAAAGGTGCTTCTTCTCCCTGACCATGAGGGAAAGCAGATATCAGAAATGTCAGAGGTGTGTGGGTGCAGCTGAGGAGGGAGAGAAAAAAATCCTGGAGAGAAAAAAAATCCTGACTTTTTTTTGAGGCACATAACTTTGAATTTTCTGTAGGCCTCAAAACAGGAACCCACCAAATTTGTGAGTGCAGACAACAGACAGGTCTGTGCACATGCTACAGGATATGCCCAAAACCATAGGGGGCACACTTCTAGTCAATAATTGACAAGTTGACTCAACATGTCCACAGACAGGAAAATTGTATCAGAGACTAGGAAGTGTATTATACAAACCAAGTCATTTGACACGTTAGTTATCTTATGCATCAAATAGTATGTTATGCCAATTTTTTTTTCTTTTTTTGCGAATGCTCCGAGTCCTTTTGAACAGTAGAGGACATGCCACAATTTTTGCAGAAGACCATGAGATGTACGTTTTTTGCTAGTAGTTAGAAACTGTTTGACAATAGGGGGGAGGTATCAGAGGGGTAGCCGTGTTAGTGTTACTCTGGATCTGTAAAAAGCAACACTACATGCATCTGATGAAGTGGGTATTCACCCACGAAAGCTTATGCTCCAATACATCTGTTAGTCTATAAGGTGCCACAGGACTCTTTGCTGCTTTTTAATAGGGGGGAAGGAGCCTGCTGGTATATTTTAACCCTAATAGAACCTTGTATTTAATTAGCACAAAGTTATCTTGTGACCCTGTTTATTGACAAGACTCAAAAGCTTTAGCAAAATCTGCCCATATTCTCATCTGAATCGAGTTTTTTATCTAGTGTTACTGGAGAACACAAACACACGTTACTCCCTAGAAAAAACCTGAAAATGAAAATAGTTTTGAGGGTATCACAAAAGACAAGAATGGAAGAAGATGTAAACAACAACAACACATGTTTTAGAAAGAAGACATGAACAGTTCTGTATGATAAGCATATTAATTGAAATTAGTCACATAGTTAACAGAATCTGAAGGAATGCAGGATCATTTCATTTTTGCCTTTCAGCCTCATGAATGTAAAATGTGCTTGTAATCTTAACACTATTCAACAGACAAAGCAGTCTTTAAAAATCACACTTCACAAGGCTCACGGGAAAATAAGTTACTAATGAACGGTATTTACAGTTGCTTCCTTTAAACATGCTTTCATTTGCTTTTCAGAAGTTACTGCATTAACTGAAATAATTAGGAGAAATGCACAGTGTCACTTCTCTCCTATTAATCTGTTTTCTTGTTTTTAAAAATAAATAAATTGCTTAGATTGCAAAGCTAGTAAATCTTCCACAACATTTAATTGCCCAAACACCACATTAAATCCACTGCACTGAGTTTAACCTTTGATGAACATCTTGGGAAGGTTCTCTATGGATGTTTGGGGCTCCATCCAGAAATTAGCTACTGCATGTGAGGATCTCATGGCAAGATTAAGGCCTTTGTAGTGATTGGGGAAAACAGTGTGGAAAGGTGTGAAAACACATAGTAATTAGTAGGCAAAATACCAAAATGCTTGTCACTTATGTCAGTGGTTCTTATAGTGAATACTGACTTCACCGGGGACATTTGAACCGGACACCAATAATTTTATTAGAAATTTGCACAGAGAAAGAATGAGGAAAACATGTATTTCTTTTGTATAAAACACAAAAGATGTTTCAGATACAGACACAAATTTATATTGTGAACATATATTTATATACATATATATTGCACATCATTCCGGTATTGTGAAATATCTAAATATTCTTTATCATTTCTGACATCTCTCTTCTTCTTTACAAAGTGAACTACACGTTTGTTATTTAACAACAACAGAAAAATATGAAAAAATAGTCCGTAAAAGAAGGTGGGGAGGGGGAAGAAATGATCTGCTTTCCCTTTAAAGCCATGAACAATAGAAGGTCATGTGATACAGTATCCTATCATTCAGCACATTAATAGCTGTGCTAGAGTAATTACACTTGTGGTATTTTTGCCTCAAGTGAAATTCTGAAATAAGAGGATGGAAATTATGATACTGCTGATAAATATTAATAAGTGAACTTTTAATTTTTTTGCCACAATATTCAAAATGCTAAGCATCTAGCTAATGCTGAAGCAGCCTGATATGTGTTTGCCTCCAGGGACTATGATGCTTTATGCACTTAAGAAAAAAGTTTAACGGAATTAAAATTTAATATCTAATTAGAGCAAGGCTAATATATTTTGAAATGAGTGGGGAAGACACATGCCTCTGTTGCATATTTGCTACAGCCATTAATCTTACCTGTAAAGCAGCATTGAGAGGTGTGCAGTAGGTGTGGCTGGTCTGTATGTTTTTAATAAGAGAAGGGTTACTGCATAAGAAAAACATAAAAAGTAGAGTTAAGTGCAAACTACTCATCTTAGTGTGTTTCCATCATGTTATGTTTCCTCCCACACCAGAAAACTACAAACTGTGTTGTTTGCTATAAAAGTTCTCTTCTGTTTTTTAAAAACTTTTATGTTTTAGTTGTATGGCTACCATATTTGCATTTGCCTTTATTAAATATGGAAGACCATTATTTAAATCTCTAACAGCTACAGCATCTCGTATTCTAATGCCCTGTTGAAATATTATATATTAGCATTTGTTTTCTACAGAAATCCAACAGAATTTTTCCAAAGTTCTTCCTATCCAAAAGTAAGTTACTACATAAAGGTCCATAATAAGGAGATCACCATTAAAAGCATTATGGACTCTTAACTCGTACACTGACTGACTTATGTAGTAGCTGACATCACTGGCATCCATAGCTGCATAGTAGAATTTTGATAAGTAGGAACTTCAGAATTCTTGCTTTCAGAGTTGTATTGTTTCCTGCTGGACAAATCTCCGACAGCACAGTAGAGTGCTTGGCTATCCGATAGCCCAAAGCATTTTTGTTGTGGGTGATGGAGGGGAGGTGGAACGGCAGATATTGTGGCACTAGAACCAAGTGGTAGGGAACATGAAAGATGCCACTCTGAGTCAGGGGAGCACTCATAAAAAAGTATCCCACTGTGGTTCTTTGAACCATTACTTTAGAATACCACAGTACCTTTGTAGCCAAGGTTTGTAAAAGGGGCCTGATTTAAAGATCGTGCTGAGAACTCACCCCGTCTCGGCTGGACACCCAAAACCCACACACCCAAGATCACTTTTGAAAAATCTTGCTGAAAGTACAAGCCAGGGAAGGTCCAGGGCAGACAACCCCAAATGTACATCATCCACAATACAATTTTGTTTCTGTTTTGAAACAGAACACAATGATAACTGTCTTAAACTGACCATCCTTGAGACCAGCAAAAATCAGTTGCCCTAGACAGGTGGTCTTCAACTAAAGGGGAAACAAAATTGCCTTGGGAACCTTCGGGATATTTTTAAGTGATCATTTTAGAAAGAGGGTGGTTTGTTGTTTGTAATCTTTACTACAGGTCCAACTGTAGTAATCATTGTCAGAATGCTTTGGGGGCATTTCAGTTATTTATTTGAGGAATATCGACTTGTATTTCTGGGCTAAGAATTGTGAAGCAAAGCATATAACTGAATCTAACAGAAAATAATCCAAATCTAGTTCGCCTACAAACCTTCTTGATAATCAACTTTACAGTATTTCTGCTCTAGGAGCAGTACCTTTTAGTCTACATTGCATTATAAACAAAATTACAACACATGTCAAAGAAGCATTATCCTAGGCATTTGCATTATTAGGGCAGGAACAAGCGCAACACATATATAAACCCACAACATTTAGTTTCTTTTACAGCAAAGGTGAGGTCACGGTTTCATGAAATGCAAGTCTACATGAGATGGGTAGATCATGCAAAGCAAAGCAACAGCAGAAAAAAAAATAAAAGCAAGTAAAAGCTCTTACTGTGCAACAAGCTCGCCAAAGTTTTCATCAGGGCAGAATTTTCGAGGACGGCCTCGTTGAATATGACGGCCACGTTTAAACTCTTCATCATCAACAGTCCAAAAGGACCCAAACTCATCCTCTACTCTGATAAAGCACTTATGCAGGGAGAGGTTGGTGCGAATGGCACCCTGGGACAAGAGCAGCAGCAAAGGAGATGAAGTGGAAACAAAGGGACACGGGATCGGGGACAGAACAGACATCAAATACAGGGAAAAGGAAAAAGAAAATAAAATGCAATAAGCATAAGCAAATGGTTTGTGAGGGTTAATATGCATTGCCACCTAAAAGCTACTAGCATGTGATGCAACAAACACCAAGCAAGCAGGGGCAAGGGTACTGGTGGGCATACAAACAGTAGTGATGAGATGCTTTTCTTTGTTTCCCTTAACTGAAACAATGTGAAACCACCTGTGTTGGTCTAACACCATCTAGCAGCCAAAAGCCTCTACGTTAAACTGTAAGCATGATCCAAGCTAGGCTAAGAAGTTCAAACATGGTGGACATACCCACTGATCTTTTGTGGCCTTCGTTTTTGGAACTCTAGTTCATCCACTGTCCATACTGCCCCTTTAACGTTTTCTACTCGCACAAAACACTTGTGAAGACTAAGATTATGACGCACTGCATTCTGCAGCAAGTATAAAAGAGAAAACATTCAAAAACTTTCTATGAGAAAACACTCATCATTGTCCAAGAACAGCAGCATAGTCAGCTCGACAGTCCTTATTTGCAAAGATAACTCCGTTCCCCGCCCCCAACCCTCACCCTCCTTCCCCCAACAAACCAGATCTTTACATGTTTAAGATCTTATTTTGCAAAGATAAAAATAAAATCTCAAACCCGAGATTAGGAATTCAAGTTATTTTGTCAATTATTCACGGTGGGAATGAGAACCTCCATCATTTTATGTACACACATCAGGTAACAGCATATTTCATATACAGTTAGAGTAACATTTCTAAGATACTTTCAAAACAAGTACACAGTTTGTAATGGAAACTTATCCACTCCTGGAAAAAGAAAACAGTTTAAAAGACCAGAGAAAGAATTTCATGTAATTACAGAGGGCTCAATTTGGCAAAGAGGCATTGGAGCTGGGGTTTCTGTGGTTTCCCACAGCTGGACTAATGTGAATCAGGTGCTGAACCTCTTTTCACACCAAATAGCACCCTAGTGAACACCACAGTGCACCAAGTCATGTCTTCCACTGCATGCTCATATATGGAAGTTGGCTCTCATTTCTGGCAGGCTACTGTACTGATTGAACTGAGCTTCTGCCAAGTACATGCATGAGGAGGGCTCTCAAAACAAAGTGATAATCTCCCCACATGTAGAGACACATGTTTTTTTTCTTATGGTTCCTAGGCTCCTTTATTGGGCATTCCCAAGCTAAGGTTTCTGATGGTCAGACCCAATTCTGTTGGATGTAATCCAGTGCTTCTGCAGGATGGAATCAGCAGATCCCTTACATCCTCTGACTTTGGCCTAAGCCTAACACAGTAAGACACTTCTCATACAAACACAATCAATTGTGTCTTTTATGTCTTTGCTCTACCTGAAAAGGCACTGAATACCTTGTTAGTTAGCAAGTGTGTGCCACCCCCAGTTTTGTGAGCAACTACACAGCGGTAAAGCCACTCAGATTTGTAATGAAGCCTGTTCTCTAGTGCCTCTGCATTGCCACTGAAAGAGGATCAGTGACCAGAAGAAGGGGACCGGGCCATTTGCTGGAAACATGCAGGCAAACAAACTACATCCATCAGCCTTGGCATCACTGATCTAGTCAATCTGGTTGACTTGTTAGCAGGCGCAATGCCAAACACATAGGCATGAATCTAGGCAACCAGGAGACTAAACACATTGTTTACGAACATCAGGTCTGGATGATGAAAGGAGTTCTAATCAGGAATGTCTAAATCACTGCGCAAACAAAGGTTATGCAGAGTGCATTTGTCATGTAAATTAAGAGGCAGTGTGTGCGCATCTGTGAGGGGAGGGCTGGGAGCCTTTTGTTACTTTTGCAGGCAGTTTCTCTGTGTAGTTAGCATCTCCCCATAACCTATCCACTCATAATAGCAACGATTCAGCATATGGACTCTCTTCTTAACAGGTCAGCACAATGTGAATATGGCCTTACATACTCGATCCCGTGCTTAGGGGGCATGTCACATTTCTGCAGTACTAAGTCCACATACTTCTTAAGCTTCTCTACTTTGTCACCAGGCTGATCTGTTTGTGAGCTGGTGGGGAAATCAGTGTTGAGTGACTTTTTCCTCTGGACAAGGCAGGGGATGCTGCTGAATCTCTGAGAAAGTCACAATATTTGTTTGGGATCTGACATTTTGCACCCTCCCCATTTCACAATGTGTGAAACGTTGGGCACAATGGCTCTTTTCGACATTGAAAACACGTGAAAATGGACATTTTTCTCATGCATTTCAATAGAAACCGGGCTGACTACATCTGCACTCAGTCAGACCCCTGCTCCTGCACTGGGATCAGCTAACAGAGTCCTCCTGATTGGCAGAGTGGCCTGCTAGGGGAACCTGACACAGGACAGGGGTTTAAATCCGTGTAACCCAAACGAAGTTTCCAGTGCAAATGGGAACATTTTCAAGTTTGTAACAGAATATAAAATAATAATGATAGATTTTGGATCAGTTTTGCAAATGGTTACAAATATTCCACACAGTGAAAAGCAATACTGTAGCCTCATGAGGCAATTGATGGAATGCAGACAGAAAAATTCAGAAAAATGGATGCTTTGACTTTGTAAACAGCCTCTGTATAAAAAATTGAACAGAATTATCCGCATTCTTCTTTAAATATGCCTAATGCTGTATAAATCATTTATGATCTGATCCTGCTCTAGTGAAGCCAATGGGAGTCCTGCCATTAACTTTTAGGAGGACTGGATCAGGCTTTGATTGAATATACTTACACAGATAAATCAAATATTTGTAAAGTATTTGGGGAAAGATGCCTTAGCTTTCCATGTTTATATCTGACCACCTGCTTAGTGAGTTTATAGAGGATCATTGTTTTTGGTTTTCCTGCTCCTGGATTCTTGCTAGCTAACGGTTTTATTTGAACAATACCCCCAACATTTCAAAGCCACACCTGCATCTTCTGCCTCCTGGCTGCAATTCAGTTGCAGCAGATTACTACTCCAAAAAACAACCAAGCAAACAGACATTGCCTCTGACCTGTCAGAACCAGTTCAGAATGTTCTTCTAGCGCTCTGCTTAACAGAAAAATTAGGCACTATTATTGTAAGATTATATATTTACCTCGTTAAAAAATATTTGTATGCAAGCCACTTTTTCAGAAAAAATTACCCTGAACATGCTTGAATGTACTAAATGAAAGGGTTTGTTATTTTAATAACTGCTCAGGCACTGCTGTGCCGCATTTGGTGAAGTGTTTCATTTAGAAGTTCTTTTTTCCTTTAAAAAAAAAAAAAAAAAAAGATCTCAGGTGTACCCACCCACTCCAGATCCTTATCCTACACTGTGGCCAGAGTGATATTTGAGCATTTACTGAAGATGGGCCTGAAGCACAAAAGCACAAATTCAGATTTATTCTGATTCTTCAGTCAGACCCTTGGGCCCATGAAGAACCCGAGCAGCTTTCACGTCAAACCAATCCTGGGCTGTGTTTTCAGCCACCTGCGGTCATTGAAGGCTGGCATTAATCTGAGCAGCCATCAGCATGAAGGCCCCAAATTACTTCAAGTGGACATCCATTTTGCCAGTAGTGATGGAACATACTACTGCTTTGTAAGAGCACGCACTTAACACCTACACAGTGTCAGGGGGGTCCCTGCTGCGCTCACGAGGATAAACGTCTCTCTGGGATGCACCTTTTCTCCTTTGTAGCTGTGGGACTCTCCAGTAAGACATCTCTCTGCCTCCTCTGCCATAGGCACCTCTTTTGTCATCAGGTTCCAGTATGCTGCATGAGCTGCAAGCATGACTCTCCCTGCCCGTGACTTTTGTGAGCCTCTAGAGCGGATCTTATATAATGCACAAAACCAGTTCCAAAAAGTGGTCACATTTACTAATGAGATGTCTAGCCAGGTGGCTGCCCCCATAGCTGCAGGCAAGAATCAAAGAGAATGCTTGCTAGAGCCCTTTCTCCTGCAGCTATGGAAAAGTTCCACTGGAGTCACTCAAGCAGCAGGAGACAAACATATCTTTTATAGGGCTGCCACAGCCACAGAAGATGGGGGGTGTTCGAGGTATGTGTGTGAAGAAGAATCTTGCTCAAAGGACTAACAGAAAACTGAAAACTAGAGCTTTGAAAAAGCAGGCTCTGGATAGTAGAACTCCGATGTAAAGAAGTGTTTTCATGTCTAGAACAGGTTGACTATAAGAAGGTTCCACTGTACATATGAATATAATGTATATATACAAACGTGTATACTTCATTTTAAAATCAGGAACACATTGGTTCTGTAATCTTTAAAGAAGTGTACACCACTGAAAGTGTTCTGAAACCAAACTGTTTTTCTACAGTAACATTGTCAAAATGCCCTTGAAAAGAACTTTAATTCAGGAAAATTCATTTCCTTTTTTAATACTTAGGAAGCTGCAGATGAAACACTGTTCAACTTATTCAACTAAGGTGCAGAAATCAAAGCACCAATCTCAGAGCGTTTCCTAGGTACAGATGACTGAGGTCTGAGAGGTGGTACTGAAATTTACAAATTTGCCCCAAGGCATTTGAATGAAAGGCAATGGAACACTGAGGAGCAAAAGCACACAAGTGAAATACAATAAACTTTCCAATGAACCACTGAAGCAGAAGACCTCTCTAACTCCATCCTTTGAAGGAACTGTCCTGAGTTTTAGAATAAGAAAGGCAAAGGGAGAAGAAATGAAAGAAAACAGCAGGTATAGGGGACATTTATCAGATCTGCTGGTATGCTGCTGCTTTGTTCAAGAACTACTGGGTTACCTGGACCAACAGAGACTACAAGGACCGAGATGTAATTTTTACTTCAGTGTAAGATCCTGTTATTTGATTCATCCAGTAGTAATCACACCAACTCTAGAGGCTACTGTGGATAAGTTGCTATGATAACAGCTCACACAAGGGAAAGGGGTAGCTGTGAAAATGGAAAATATATAAAAAAAACTAACTGAACAACAGAACCCTACTGTAAGAATTTAAGGCATCAAATTTTTAGTTTCTTGTGTCTGTTAGATTAAATGTTTTTTTCTTGGTTTGCTTCTTTAGCATTATGCCAAATTAACTTCTATTTGGTGTCATCATAAACCAGTGAAGGTTATAACAAGTTGGAATGTTAAATTAGTCAGGTACCAATTGACTGAGGAATAACTTGTCTATACATCCTTGGAAAAGATGGTTGTTGTGGTCACACAGCTAGAAAAATGAAGAGCTGTGTAACTAACAAGGCAAACTGTATATCCTGTACTGACACGATATCTTCACCCTTTTTCCCTACATGTTCCAGATGAAAAGCTAGACTTTCACTACTAGGAGAAATCACACAGATCAACTGGTGGCACAATCACAGGACATAAAAGCCAATAATGGGGATTCAATTAGTGGTTTTCAAAGGCAGAAGAATTTTTCTGCCAAATATCAAATTGTTCCTGCAGATAAGACACTCTGTGTGTGTCAAAACAGCCGATCTACATTTTAATGTCCATATGCCGTTACAATTTGTTATGTCATCAGCAATGTCTATTCTGTACATGTCAAATATCAAAGGCAAGAGGCATACATGGTGCAAACCTTACCTTCCATGTCGCTGCATTGCGTCTGAAGTAAGCAAACATTCGTGTGAACCAGTTGTAGATTTCATTTAGTGTTAGTTGCTTTTCTGGAGATTCGAGGATAGCCTTGTGAAGCAAATAAAATGCATGATGATTTATGACAAAACTCCCAGCAAACACACCTATACTTTTACCTTAACGGATTAAAAAAAAATGAGATTTGGAGCAAAAATCCAAAAGAGGGTTTCACAATGTGTTTTAAGATTAATGGCTGTATTTAACAGTTCAATGGCAAGATTCAGAATGGAATTATCTAATTGTTTTGAGTTTTTATTTCTGTTTCCTTACAGAAATATTAATTTATTAGTCATTCATAAAGCAGAATCAAAGAGAAATGCAAAACATTTCACTAGCTGATTAAAGCTCAGTAATTATTTAGAGCTCAGATTAATTCTAGGGATCAGAGATTACTGTAGCTTGTGATAATTGACTTGCCATCTTTAAACAGGCTCATTTTCACTGTTGTGTGAAATGAATTTCCTAATAATCACATCGTATTGTAATACTTAATCAAAAGCAATTATGTTATATATTGCAGTTCTCAAAACCCTTATAGGAAAGGTTTGAGCATGCCTGCATATTAAAGGGTTCTAAATCTATTTAATCTATAAGGTGGATGTATAGGGACAATTTTGGAGCGAAATGTGGTTTTCGAGAACAACTTACCTGCCTAATTAAAGATGCATACGTGAATGGTGGTCTAACCTCTGCGTTCTTATAAAATTCTTGGTTCTGAGCAAGATCTGCTAAATAAGAGCAATTGTTCTGTTAATATCAGAATCAAAGCTTCCTTTGCAATTTCCAAGAGAAAACAAATAATGGCCTTTGCCTTCGACAGTCATTTACCTGAAGAAATGGCCACATTGTATTTATTAGGGCACCGCCTCCTGATTGGTTCAACGTTGTGCATGCTGGTGGTAGTGATGACAGAAGGTCCCTGGATGACAGGAGTGATGGGTGTAGTTGGGGTGGTCGGAGTATGAGGTAAGCTCTGTGGAGAAGCCTCAGAGGCCGTCTTTGACAGTGTGACACTTGATACCAGATTCAGCTGTTGAGGGGGAGAGAAAAGAGGGTGAGGAAAACTTTATTAGAAATTGTATTTCTTGCAAATTAAGAATTATAAAAATCTTTTCCAGCTTTAATAGTGTTTGTGACCACTAAATGCAGAGAATGTATCTTAAATACTTGTTTAGCTGTAACACCTCCTTTAAAATCCACGACAGGAGGATGAATGTATAATTGTCTACATGATATATTAAAAAAAAAAAAATTGCAACCCAGTAAACAAAAGTGCTTGCTCTCAGGCTTTGAAGATTTAGGACAAAAATCCACAATTTTCAAACAACACCTCATCGTATATATTCATTTTAATATTTTATTTTCGTTCCACTGTTTTGCAATTTAAAACCTACACATCTCTTATTTACATGTTAATATTCTGCAACTGATCTGTTTTTGGATATTTCCTCAAAGACATCAGGTTTTAAATAAAGACAATGCTTTGTTAGGAATGCACTACGAAGAAATGGAAGATCAGTACAGCATTTGGGCTTTTTCCGTTCATCCATTTTAAACGCAAATCCCAGAATAGGTTAACTCCAGAATAATTTAATTAATCACACTGCATGAAATACTGCAGTCATTAAGCCCAGCAAAAAATGACACTGTTCTTTTCTCTCCTTGGTGTGGAATGCAATTGTGCTACCTGCAGAAACTTACAAGCATGTAATAAAATGACAGCTAGCCACAAGCAGGCTTTAAAATGTGACTTCCCCAAGAACGGATAGCCATATGTAACTGGTTTTAACATGCACTTCTATTTATTTCATCAGTGTGCACGTGTATCATGGACCCTTTCTTTGGGCACCATTCGAAACAAGATGCTTCATTGCAATGGGCCATTCTTGGCGAAGTACTTTAAATAAACAATAAGATCCCAAACTGCTCCATCAGAAAGGGGGCCTGAGAAAAGGGCTCCTTTCAGTACTTCCACATTACTTGCCTTGAAGCATTATTGTGAACAATATTCTGGGTGAAATGCTGGCGCCAGTGAAATCAATGGCAAAATCCCATTTATTTCAAAGGGGCCAGGATTTCACTCTATTTATTTGCAATTAATATTTTTTTGCCTGACATTAAACACTGCCAAATGAAGCTGAGGCATGCGCCTGGCATTGGCTGCTGTCAGAAGACAGGATATTGGGCTAGATGGACCTTTGGTCTGACCCAGTAGGGCCGTTCTTATGTTCTTATAAAGACATGCCCCAAAACATCCATAGGACTCATTATTATTGTTCTTGACATGAAAGTAACCAGATAAGAGCACTCACATTAGCATGTTTCAAACATTAGTAGCTACCAATAATTGCTCTCTTATTAAAAAAAATAAATAACAGAATTTGTCCAAAACAAACTTGGAGGGGAAAAAAGCTTTCTAATGTTATAGAACGGATATCAACACAATACGCCAATAACCCACAAGAAGGGTGCAAGTGAACAATACATAAACGGTTCCTGCTTCTCTGTTTTGAATGTGAAATACAAAACGCTCAAGGAAATGTTAGCCCCAACAGGATAACACAGTGAAGTGTTATGTAGCTGGGACTGCGTATACTGTCAGTTAAAGTACTGATCCAAAGAAATGAGTTTGGGAGAAGCAGATCTGCAAACACACCTCTCTTCATGCAGGTGCTTACAAGCTAGAAAGTCTCTTTTCAGAATGGAAAATATTTAACACTTCAAGGAAATGTAGGATTATGTGATCCTACCGGGGGGTGGGGGTGGAGGGGGGGTGAGAGGAGGAGACTAGAAAAGGCAATAAAATATATGTCCTGAGTTCCTGAAGAATCATGCAATGAAGTGAACCAATAAATACAGCTCAAATATACCTGCTGTGTTAGTATTTAAATGGGTGTGGTTCATGTTTTTAAATATTACTTATACAATATAGTGTGAAAGTGAAACCAAGTCATTTTGTGGCCTGTTTAGATTTAAGTACACTGGATCGGGGTACACATATAGCGATATCCCCTTATTATCCATCTATTACATATAATAAAAGGAGTAATAATGACCATAATAGTACAACTGACAGGTCTCACCATGAAATACAATCTGCTGTATTTAATCTCAGTTTCTAAATGGACATTTTAACAGTCCAATAACTGCAAGCAAATCTGCATCAAGTTTAAGTGCCCCTCCACAGCACAAGCTCAGGAGACATTCTCTTCTGTTGGGAAGATCACTGATACTGTTTCATCTTTACTGCCCAAACTATTCCATTTCGAAAGAATTAGATTCTTTTTAACTGTTTAAAAACTTAACATTTAATCTGTTTCTACTAGAAAACGGCAAAGAAAGAATCTGCAAAGGTCAATGTTCTCTGCTTAAAGAATTTGAATGGAGTGTAATTTCTTTAGGCTTCCAGCATAGGTAGCGACTACAAATAAATACAGAAAGAGAGGAAGAGCAAAGAGAGGGGCTTTAAGGGGGTTGACAAATGACACTGTGATTCACACCCACTGCTGGGCTGCCACTAATAAGCTACAGAGGAAGCAGCCAATCTCAGCTAATTACCAGATAAAATTGTATTGTAAGGACTCTAATTAGGAGATGCTTATGGAGGTGATCTAATGATTAAACACTGCATTCGAATGACCCCACCATCAATGTGCAGTGGTGCAAGATGTCACTGGAATATTTTGTAGAAACAGTAATTTTATTTCAAGGAGGGGAGGCAGTAATATTTGTAATAATGGCTATGAGGTAAACTAATTAAAAGACAGTTCCTAAAGGAAGACTGTGGCTTTGAGCAGCTGTGGCTGTTCCAAAACAAAGTGCCAAATCTCAACAGAGGAGCTGCAGTCAAGTGGAAAATTTCTGCCTGACCTCTGCTCTTGCTATTAATTTGCAGGAAAACTAATGACACATATACATATTCCCACAAAATTGTTCTAATTGCTAATTTGCCAAAGGAGCCCAGTTTCCAAATTAAACATGACTGCAGTCTGTGAGGAAAGAAAGAACAAAAAGCTGGAACACCGTGAGCATAGTGTGTTTCACCTCGGACTGCCATTTGTATGACTGAACCAACAAGTTAATGAAATGCCGACCTTGTCAATTGCTAGAGAAGTTTTACTTTAAGTTTTGTTTGATGATACTATCTCTTGCTTTTGGAGGGGCCTGGGTCTTACTGGTTATGGTGACAAAACTATGTAATGAGGCAAAGGGAAGAATATGCGCAACCATCTACATTTTTAATGCTCAACATGCTGCTTTCATTGTTATCTATAAAATGTAGACTTAAAAATTAATTGTGAATTAGAGCAAAATAACAAATTATGAATGGTGTTGATTTTGTTGTAATCTTAAAATATTAATATTAATTGTAAATGATTAAATCTTAATATCATCATCAATTAGGAATGAAGAAGTGTCTAAGCTCTGTGCTTCTGGCTGCTAAAGATGATTATGCAGGGCAAAGATCAGGAAGGGATTGTACTGGGAGGATTTCTTTTCCTGATGGAAACTCTACAGAATTTCTCTCTGTGCGCTTTCTATTTAAAAACAAGTTGGTCTGATTACAAAAAGTTGTTCATGCCAAGATTGGATACGACAAGATTCCCACATACTGCCATTTTTTGATGAGGTATCATTTTTGCTGCAGGGTACTGAATGCTAGTGACCAAGCTGGCTTTTTTAATGAGTATTGTTCTTTGCATTTACAATTGGGCACATAACATGCTAGGCGCTGTCCAAGCACATCGAACACACTTCCTACCCCAAAGGGTTAAGCCATTCAGTAATAATGTTTGTAATAAGTGAGTATTTCTCCCTGGAGTTTCTATTTTTGAAATATTTGTTTTAAAGGCCTGTAGTTTTGCAAATTCCACTACTGAAGGATTTTACAACACAGGTAGCCCACACCTCTCTAATCTAACCATCATAAATGCCATCATTGGGTCAGTGTCCAATATTCTGCCTGGCCTTTTATTATTATTAATCTTTACTTTCAAGAAATAGTTTTTTTTCTCCCATACAAGCCAGAGAGGTAACCCTCTCCTTCACCCCATAAAAATAGATTTCTATTAAGTGGCTCTTCCATTAAGACTCCCTTTGATTTCTCTCCATGTAAACAGATTACATAACAACAGTGGCTGCAAATAAAGAATCTGAAACATTTTAAAAGAAAAAAAAATTAAGTGTCACATTGGGGCGTACCTACTGCTTTAGGGCATTGATTTTTCTGCTATTGGTGCTGCCACTCTGATCACAGCTGAAATTGATGAAATAACTGCACAGAGTTTCTAGACTTTAATCACCCTGGTGCAGAGATTGCTGAAGGTGGAGGGAAGTGGCACCAAGCTTTGTTAAATTCTGTGTCTTCCTGTACGATTTCAGCCTGGACAGATTACTGTATTAGATGTAGGATCTGGCAAGCAACAATCGCTTAGCAGGTGTTGTTATTGGCAGGGATACTAAGGAAACCCAAGTTGAGGAGTGGGACTTAATGAAAAACACTATATAAAAACAGCTTTTGTGTGTTGTACTTGAGAATCTCTTTTTATTGCTGCATATCATTATTTTTCAAACTATAAGTACAGCTACAGCAACTAAAATGCTCAGTCATTACCTAAACAGTTAAAAGGCTATTTTATTGCAATACTTTGTTTTCACAGTTGCTAAAAACAGTATTTAAAAACAATTGCAACTGCTATGGTTAGAGTAAAAGAAAATATTATTAAAAAGGAATATCTAACAGTGCATTTCATTTAAAATGCCAACAGTTTCTTTAAAAATTGTATTTCAATTTCATAAAGATGGATGTACTGCCTAGTATATAGAACGTCTTGTTGGCCAGAATAAAAAGAACGCCCTTTTTCTCCCTCTTGTCTAGGTAGTAGTTCTTTTATGTTTAGTTAATACTCCAAAGCAGATCAAGCTTCTGATTTATTCTATTATGCTGACCTCCGACATGAATGAAAATGGTGACCATAACAGCAAAACTAAAATAAAAAATTCTTAGGAGTTGTTGTGGTAGTTGTTTTTTTAAACAATGAAAAAATCTCCACCTCTATACAATGCATCACAGCATATTCCCCAAGGTCAACTGAATTCATTTTGGAGTATTCAAATCTCAGCTATGGGAGTTATATTCTTTACGCAGTAAACTATGAGGTACTTCATTTTCTTTTTAAAATGTTACACACTTGGGCATCTCAGTTATAAAGTCACAATTAGACACCTTTAAACAGAGTATTGATTATTACTATTACAATGGCTCTGTATCTCCCTTCCCCTTCTTTGCCTCCAACTCTAGCTCTCTGCTCATAAGTCCTCCCAGCAGTAGGGCCCAGAATTTCTTGTATTTCTAGAAGTGGATAGCACACCCAACGAAGGCTGCTCCAGAGGGAAGTGCTTCATGTACAACTGTCTGCCTCCAGTTTGGGTCACGTTTTAGCATGTGCTTAAGTCCCATTGACTTTAATATGACTGAAGTACTTTGCTGAATTAGGACCTTAGTGATTTGCTATAGCTAAAAACAAAACAAAACATGATCATTCCACTGTCTTTTCCAAGATATCAATTATTCCAAGGTGCTAAAGCAATCTAAAGACTGACACACGTTCCTTAACATGACTAGACCTGACAAGTCGCTGTTTAACAGGGTTGAGTTGAATGCACAGAGTTGGACTATGGTCTGAACAGTCCAAAAATACTGTACTAATTGATGGGATATAGCTAAACAGGGCAAGATGACATCATTGCTTTTTGGCTGCCATTTGTGTTTCACACTGGCCATTCGATTTTAAGAGCCACACAGTATAATGGTTCACTCTTCGTTTTGCCATCTAGTTAAGAACTATTTAAAAATAAGCATTAAGAGCTTTTAAATAGGAAAAAAAATATTTCCCATAAGCTCTCCATGCAGTCATTAAAAAGCTGTAATTTTAAATCCCAGTTTATTACTATATTTGGATCGGTAGTGACTCCTTTAAAATCACAGATGTACCAAAAATATATTAATCCTAACATACACCTTGCATTAGTTATGGTAGGGGAATAAAATTAATTACTGGATGTAAAAAATACTTTGCACTGCAGTAATGGTCATCAGATCTTTTTTACCAAAGTCCTACCCCACTGAGTTAAAAGGACTGGGGTCTAGCACAGTCTATGTGATGCCTGTGTATTTTTTTTTCCACAAGAAAAGCACAATTTATGCAAAACACTATACTTCTACATCTTATAATTAATTTTCAAATGCTTCACCTATACATATTTTAATAATTTCTGATTTATCAGATGGTATCTATAATAAATTTTTCTATATTTCAATAAATGAAAAGAAGACAGTTTCAATCCAACAACAGAGTGTCACACAATATAGGCCTGTCAGGCACCAATTTTTACTTCTAACATGTAAGTTAAAGGATAAGGAATTTATAATGCTGCCTGTGAACGAAACCACTTTTCATACACAAATGTGATTTTTTTTTCAAAGGGTAATACAACAGTACATTTACATAAACTAATCCAAACAATCTATGTATTTGACAATGGCAAACCTCACACAGACTGCCTATTGTTGGTTTACATCTTGGAGTTCTTTATGTTGGCTTGTAACACTGCTCTAGCTGTCAAAGGTTTGACTTGGACTCTAAATAAATGGTTATAGAAGTGCTGTGCAGCGATATTGGACTTCTTTGCAAAAGAAAACCTGCTGTGTATGAATTCAAAAGCTATTAATTTTTCAGTCAAAAATATTCATGCCTATTTCTTTTAATAAAGAAACACTGTGCTGAGCAACGGAGAGATAATGTTGACTAGTGGTACAGAATTTTCAATAGAGCAGTTAAAAATAAATTTAGTGGGAGGTCCCCATCAAAGCTATAATTTTCCAGAATGTAAAACATTTTTTAATACTAATCAAGACAGCCCATTTTTCCCCATTCGTTTTTTTTTTCTGCTGCTTTTCCCTGTTTATTGGCTGCTTAATACTAATCTGCATGGCGACACCAACTGGTACCTTTGTAGCCTACAACACAAATGAAAGCTTACTGCCTGTTGATACTGAGCGCTGATCACTAGCCGAACAGCACTTGTCTTCTTGCGATTACTTCCTTTTAGTTTTTAATCCTTCCTTCTGAGGGGCACCGCTGCTACGAAAAGTCTCTCAACAGAATGCTTTGAGACCCCCACAGATTATTCCACTCTTAATTTTTAATCCAGTAGGATGGATAGAAACCAAACCCCCTTCTCCGTGTTCTGCCTGGTCTATAGTATCTAGTCCACAACCTAGTAAAGCATGCGAATTCAGTCTAATGCAATCTGAAGAATAGGAAGAGTTTTTCCAGGTACTTTAAGTAGTTTCCTTTTGTGATCATCCTGATCCATTGGATTAAGCAATTTTTGGAATCTCTGGAAGGGCTTATATTCACCACCCTCAAACTTCCTCCAAAAGGCATTGCTGAAATTGAGTTGGACTCCTGCTCCTATGCTGTTGAATATTCTGCAATTTTCTTTCTAGTACCTCTCTATCCACTTCTGCAGCCATTTATTTCCAACTACATGGAAACTGAGAAATTCTTCTCTAGTAAAAATGGATGTGCAAAGTGTTTAATGATTTTATGTTCTCTATCTCTGTAATGTGTTCTGTTTCAGACATTAATTTTGTCTACCAACTGCATCTTGGCAGGCTACCATATTTGCTGGGTTAATAGTCTGACTCCTTTTTATTTCTATCACCATAAATCATAAACGTATATGGGTGTGTGTTTGCTTTATTTATAGAAAAATAAAATCAGTCAAAACAGATAAACCAATACTTGGCCATTACGCTGCATCATTGCATATTGATTAAAATTGCTAGTACTAACTATAGATTGTCAACGCTCAATTAATTTTCACACAATGACTCAAAGCAAAATCAAATAAAGGCAGTGTACCTTTAAATCTTACAAATCTTAAAATCAAGAAGCAAAGCACTCTCTCCATTTTGAATAATCATGTGAAGTTATGAGGAAAATTTTTTTAGCATTATGCTGATATGAAAAAACAACAACTGAAGTGCAATTTGCTTCAGGGAACAAGGTGCTAGATTTGCCTTTTACAGGTACCACCAGTTGGCTTTGACTATTGGACTATCTTTACTTGTAAGACCAAACATTTTATAAAGTGCAGCCTGTAAAGTTTATCCCTTTCACAAGCTATTTCTGAGAGCAAGTTGGATAAATAGGGTTTTCATGGACTGTAAGTACTTTAACAACTGACACTGGGTAATACTGATTTTGTTGTTTATTATCATCGAAACGTACATGCAACTAGAGTCTACACTATCTGAGCCTAGGATAGGATCACACTAAAAAGTGAAAGTAATATCCTAACTATAACAGAATTTTACCTTGAGCACTAAAACCACTCTGGTCCAAATGCTCCTTTTGGTCACATGCAAATTCAACTTACCTAGAGGGGATTTACATGCACATACATAAGGATAGTAAAAGGTCCAAAGTGACATTTAAAGTTAAGACTAGTTTTAAACCCCTTGAAGAAAAAAGATTGTGGGAAAATTGGGTTTATGTGGCTGTGAATATTCGAAGCCGACCAACTAGCGATGCAATTTTTGTCTCTTCATTTTGACAGTCTTTTAAAGTAGGCCACACTTTGTATTATGCTCTGAGGTGGGAAACAGGAAAAGAGGTTGTTGTGAGGCTTTGTTCTGTTTCTGCACAGAACAGTACTTACAGGCTGAGGGGTGGCTTTTGGTTCAGTTGACTTCACATGCAGGTGTGTCATCATAGCTTGCAGGCGCTCTTTGTCTTTTGCAAGCTGAAGAAAAAAATGCTCTGTTACTTCGATGAATAAAATCCAGAATTCTGCTTATTCCTGATTAAACAACTGGCACCACAGACATGACAAAACAGTTTTATTGCTTAGTAGTTTGGAAATTTTATATGGTCTTTTCCGAAGTCGAACTAACTCGTGGTGCTGGGTGTCACTATGTTCCAAAGCAAAACGCATTAGCCCTTGAGTGAGGAGTGCTAGACCTGCTGGCACCAAGGGGGTCACGGCAGCCCTGACAGCTAAAAGACAATAGTGAATCATGTTTATTAACCAATCCTATTCACGCTCAGTAGGCAAAGCAAAAAGCAAATTATACATCTAACACTCACATTCAAATATTTTCTTGCTTTAACATAACTCTCCCCCCCCCCGCAAAAAACAAAAACAAAAACAGAATATAGCTTTTATATCACATACTGCTCATGTGGTGTGTAGAGCAAGCAAAGAGGCAGGAGTGGTGAAACCACATGAGGCAGCCTCAGAGAATTAGAACAGGCAGCTTTAGAAAGCACTGTGCTTATTTAAAGAATAGCAAACATTTCCTAAAATCAGAGTGACTTACTACTCTCTTATAACAATAATATATAGCTCTTATAGAGCACATTTCATCAGTAAGGTCTCCAAGTCCTTAGCCAAGGAGGTCAGTATCAATAGCCCCATTTTACATATGAGGAAACTGAGGCACAGGGAGGGGACGTGACTTGCCCAAGGTTACCCACCAGACCAGTGGCAGAGCTAGGACAAGAACCCAGGGCTCCTGAGTCCCAGTCCAGAATTGTATCCACCAGGCCATACTGCTTCTGGAAAGTGGGGTAAAAACTGGAGCAAGGGCAGTATTAACTCAGAGCAGAAATTTAAAATGGCATCCCCTTAGCACATGTCTTTAACCAACAGGCTAGGAAAGTGTAACCATATTAGGAACTATTTTAATAGTGTTCTGTCCCTTAGTATCAACTGAATACTGCTCAAACCAAAAGAAATCCAGAACACATAATGCTTTAGGAATGCTTCTTTTGCTCTTTGTGATTCAATTATGACACCATTTGTGAGCACTGGGGAAAACAGTTCTATTCTGCACGTCATATGTAAACATGTGCCCCCCCCCATAATGATATGCTTCAGTCGTCTCAGTTTTCTTTAAATTTTCTACTGAAATCTCCACGCAAGTCACAGTTTGGTTGCTTGGACTCTCACGTTATACTGCCTTGATTAAGTCTTTTCTTTGTATACAAGCTGGTTTGTGAATACATTTAGAATGCAATGATCAGACTGTGAGCTTGCTGTTTTGGGGGACCTCAAAAGCTCTATGTGTAAAAAGTTTCTTTTCCAACTATACATAATAAAAAAGGTAACATATACTAACACTAAGAATAGAAATAATACAAGTAAAAGGGGCTGTAATTACTACACATGCCCAATAAACAGATTCCTATTTTCTTCAATGGCATTTAGATCAGGCCCATGAAATTGAGAGTTTTCTCACATATTCATTATTATCAAGGCTGAGTTTTGCTCTAGAAAATCCAAATTCCTGGTGCCAAGAGGAGAAAGCTAATCACATTCCAGGGAAAGTTTAATAAACTTGCCCTCCTTATCAGAGTCATCTGTTTAGAGTAGTAAAACTGGGTTAAATGAATGTAAAAGAAAACTCAGTCATAAATCCCCATTCACTAAATTACAGTTAAGGGAGTGTCAATCTGCCCAAGGGGAGGGGTTTCTAACTGTGCCAAAATGTCTTGGTGGCTTGAAACTTGGCATATAAGGTTTCAAAGAGGAATTAAAGGGAGAAAAATCAATGTAACCGTCTGGTTTTGCGCTTTTAGAACACAAAAGTCACTGGGATTTTCATGTCACCTTTTTGGGGGGGGGGCTGAAAAGCACTGGATTGCTCAGAGGATTGGCGTTGATATATGGAATCTTACAACACTGGGTCAGCAGTACAAATCTGATTGTTGATAGGTTGTAGGCAAACACTGTTACCTTCTGAAGGAGGTTCTCCAGCCTGAGTGGCGAGGCTTGAGGTTTCAGTTCAGGTCACAGCGGACAAGAGCCCATATTGAAAAACAACCTTCACCAATGACACCCTTTCCAGCAGTCAGGCCTTAACATGGAAATTCAATATCCCAAAAAGCCTGGGCCTATGGTCAATTACCCTGCCACATCTGAGGGCTTGTGACGGGAGAAAACTTTTGTGCAGAAGTCCTCCCTCGCTGGGAGAGCCAATGAAGGAAAGGGAGAACGACAAGGCTGGAAGGAGATGCAAAGAGACTCCTATGTCTATAGCAGATCCCTCAAGATCTAGCGGCCAAATCCCCTGGATGTTCCAAAGAGAGGAAGGGAACCAACCTCATACTCCTGATGGAGTGATCTAGTGGAAAATCCTCCCCGATGTCTTCCTGTGGTCTTTTCAGAGGAAGTGGGGGTCTGACCCATCATATACATTAAATGTATATCAAATCAAATCAAACCAATGAATGCTTTTAGTCTCAGTAAAGGGTGACTGTGCGGTTTTCCATTCTCATTTTATTTGTTGAATAGCTGGGCATGTGAGTTGCCTGCAGTTTAGTCTGCACACTAATCTTCACTCGATGGACTAAACATTGCAGAAGATCGTTATTTTAGAAACAAAATAAAATAAATACTCCCATCAAAATCAAGACCTGAAAACTGTCTGCGTGTGTCACAGGCAGTGAAAGCAAAGAACAGGCAGTTTTCTAACACCCAGCACAAGGGGAAAACCCAAACTAGTTTCTTTCTGCATCCCATTGTCCCCACGGCACAGTACGTTTCATTCTGAACTGGAAAGGTCCTTATTTTTATTGTTCTCTGTCACCATCTCAGCATTCTTTTAACACAGTATTTGGTGGATGAATTCTGTTAAAGATCCTCTTGACATTTCAGGCAGACACATACTAATATTTTGTCATAGTCTGAGAATTTGAATGCTCCTCCAGTTAGGCAGGAGTTTAAATTATGAAAAATAGAAGTCTCTCGCTTTCAAAGCAGCAAATGGAAGTGAAAAATCCCAAGAATGTCTTTAAACTGCTTTCCATTAGGTCAGGAAGCAGGAGGATACAAGACCATAACTCCATTAGTACCACCCCACCATTCAGTAAGTTCATTCAAAAGAAGTCATGAGGGCTTGTTAGGCAACTGATGTGAGGAAGCTCTCATCAGTGAGGCATTGACTAGGGCTCCAAAGGTCTGGAAATGGGGACTATTAGTGGTTTTTGCAGGAAAATGCACTTGATTACTAACAGCATTCTTTGGGAAAGAATTGTTATGCACAGAAAATAAACTGATTAGCATTACTCTTAAATGGGCCCTATTCTGACTTTTCAAAGCTACTTATAAGCATTGTTTGTTTCCCTGATGATGTCCTGTGACAGGAGATGAACACATTAGCTCCATCAAACTGTGCAAAGGTCATCCAAAATGCCCTGCTGTACACATTCGCCTCTCAGTAGCACTTGACTGAAGGTGCATGTAAATGCATATTCCAAATGTGTATGGGGTAAGATCCAATCCCCTGACTTCAGCACTAAACCAGATTACTCTGATAGACGATCAGAACCCAGGGGTACAGGTCAACTCCCAAAATATTGCCTCCTCTGCCCCAACACTCATTCTTTCCCCCTATCTCCTTCTCATTGTTCCTTTCTGTAATGCTATACAATCATTTAGACTTCAGGGGATCATCTGGCACGTCTCTGCACTGTGGCAAGACTGAGGGTATGTCTTCACTAGCAACGTTAAAGCCCTTAACATGGCTGTGTAGTCCCAGTGCTGTAAAAAACCCACCCCCACAAGGGGAATAGCTCCCAGCGCTGGTGCACTGTCTACACTGCCACTTTACAGCACTGAAACTTGCAGCACTCAGGGGTGTGAGAAAGTTGCAGCGCTGTACAGTGGCAGTGTAGACAAGGCCTGAGTTCAATAGCTCCAAACCATCCCTAATAGGTAAGTGTCCAATCTAGCTCTGAGTATCTGCAAGGGCAGTGGCTTCACAAAGTTCCCTTGTCCACTTAATCTTCTAATTCTGAAGTACTAGCTAGTATTTCTATTTAATTTTATAAGGTGCCGCTCACCGTGGTGCCCAAGTGCTGCTTAATCTAAAGCTTCTCCTGCCAATTATTATTGCAAACACATACATAGTGCTGTAAGTTTATACAGCACCTTATAAACCTACATAAAAAAAACCCCACATACCACCCTGGCTGTGAAGTGGTTAAAATATAAGACAAACACACGCAAAGACAGGACACTGGACACTTCATGAGAGGGAGGGTGGAAAGAGGACACACTGCTGCTAACGATAGGGACACTGTACTAGACATAGAGGCCAGCCCAGGAGAAAGTGCCATGAGCATGGGAAATGGGAGATGAAGAGGAAGACTAGGTGCACAGGGTGGGGTAGTAAAGGGGAGAACAGAGGGTCCTGAAAATAAGGACAAGGATTTTAGACAATAAGCCATTGGGTGGGATTGGGAGGTTGGGGAGAACGGGACTCAGAAGGAACAATGCATCCAGACCAGCAGGAAAGGAAGACAACTTTAGTAGCAGCGTTTTGGACAGCCTGAAGATGAGGGGCAGGGAGGCCAGTCACCAGTTTATAACAATCAATACAAGATTGTTATGTCCCTGTCACTAGCAAGGATGATGGTTTCCTGTGTTCTTTATAACATCCCTTTACATCCTTGAAAACAGGCCAAAGTAGCCTTTTCTCTGCATTGACAATGGCCAGTTATCTTCATGGTTCCCTCTTATATGCTAATTTTCAAACCTATCATCATTTTTCTTGCTCTCCTCCAAACTCTTCTAATCTAATCTGGTGCCCAAAAATGAATGCACTACTTCAACTGAGGCCTAGCTAAACAGAATGGCATGTAGCTTGCTTGTATTTATACCTTAATCTCTTATTCTTCCTTCATTCCCAGCCAATCATTTCTCTCTCTGCAGTTGCCCTAACGAATGGTGATCATGTCAACACGGTTTCAATCATGTAAAAATACCGAAAGACTATGTTGCTTGTGGTATTTCAAGTATGTTTGTGATGGAGATACTGTGAGACCAAAGATTCATGATATTTCTGTCCAAATACAAATCTGACTTGATGTTAGTTTCCATGAACATTAGTCAAAAAAGCAAGAACCCTCACTTTCTTTAAGCTGCACTGGATATCTCTGTATGTGTATGTTGACAGAATACTATACATAAGATTAACAATAGTAAGAGAGAAATCGAGAGAGAAAATCAAATTTGGATCCATTACACTCAAACCAAATATAATACTTAGCCTTAAAGCTCAGTTACAAAATTAATTCTAAGAAAAATAATTTAAAAGAGCTATTCCTGATGAGATAGTCAAGAAATGTAACGGATGCAGTCAGAGAAGTACAAAATCACAATTCACATTCTCAAGACGCTTCAATGAAGGGGCAGTGGATGACATCAGAGGGTAGGGTAGTACTTAATCTGCAGCACACATTTGGCTCCTCAAGAGTTTGCAGAAATGGAACAGTGCTCCACTTGCTCAGGCTGTTTCAGGGCGAGCAAGCAGACTGATGATGACAGGAGTGTGAGGCAAGTGTCAGAAGAGCTGAGCATGTGGTCAGCTAATTTGGGTCCCACCCCCCCTCAGAAACAAGAAACAGTATTATCATGACGATACAGTGATACTTCCTCTCCCTACCAGGAGCCACATCTGGAGCGTGGAGGAGAGAAGGGACACATCACGTAGATATACCCACCACCTGTGCAAGAGGGACTCGGAGGATATTCTGCATCAAATGGCATCTCGGAGAGCCACAAACCAAAGGTGGCATCATGCCTTGGTATCATATGGATAAGTTTCCATTAAAAGCATGAGGAAGTTGCAATATGATTATGCAACATCATCTCCCCTAGATACAGCCACTGCAACACACTAAATCAAATTCTACCCTCTCTCCAGTAAGGTAGTATGGGATATAAGACAGGGCAGAATTTGGCTCATCGCCAGGATCACAAACCCTCATCATTTTGTGTCACTCTACCAGCCCATTTCTTGGCAAAGTTGAAATCTAGCACTTTGAGTACCAATGGGGTAAACTGGTTTGGTAACGGGACACCATGCCTTCCCTGTCTAGGTCACAGAACTCAAATCCATACATGGCAGTACTGACTGAGTATTGTTACTGCTTCATAGCCATTTGATAGCCATGTAAAACATGATCTTAGTCTGATTGTCCAAATTCTAGTGGGCTAGGTGACTACATTGCAAATGGTACTGCTGGGCCAGCCCTCTATTCCGTCAAGGCTTTTTACAGAATAGGCCAAACCTAGATTAACTAGCTGCTGGAGGAACGCCCCAATTACTCTGTGTAAGGGAATCATTTGGAGCAAAGAGTCACTGTAGCAGCTCATATGACAGCACCCTCCTCCTGACTGGATTTTCTTTTAAGTCTCAAACCACTGATACTCCTACTCTTTATAGCTGTGACCCAATATGTTTTGCATAAACGACTAGTACTTCTCTCTCTAATCCAATCACTGATGGTAATACAACTCACTATTTGGGGAATAGGTTTAGTCTATGCCCATGAATATTGTCTTTGCTACACTAAAATCTAAGGGTTGTTTCTCTTCTGGTATCCATTTCACTCTATTTTCAAGATGCAAGCGCAAATGCCTGATCCACAAGACCCTAATGCATCATATCTATTGCTTATGGGTCTATCACAGAACAATGAACTTTTAGCTAAGATCAAGCGTAATATCATTTAAATATGGGAGATATATCTTATCAGGGACTATATCCTGCCCTTTCAGAGAATGGACTCTGAGCTAAGAGGTCTTTTCCAACACTATCATACCTCTGCTCATCATTCACTCATTATGATCAGTGCTCCTGTAACTAAAAAAAGTGCCAGAATGCACTTCCAGTAAGTGACCGTACTGGAAGGACACCATTTCGGCTCCCAAAAAGAGTGCCAGAGCGGTGGTCTGGAACATTTCGGCACGACTCAAGCCCTGACTATGATTAGTATTATGTAACACCGATCAATCTACCACAATAGTGTCACGATTATAAAGCACTAGCAATCAAAAAACACCTATACCTTGTTCAACTCTTCATGTAGGGCTTCATCTGACTGTCCCTAGGCAATACAAACTCCTGTTGACTGCAGGACTGAGCTGTTGTATTTATTTAGATGGAATAAATGGGTGTTAACATAACCCAGTCATTCATCTAAATTAATACAACAGAGCCTATAACGTTTTTCAGACTACAACCCAATCTAGGTTTACCTACAGCATGACTGTTATTGCCCGTTGGTGAAAGATTATCTTATATCTCAGTCCACCAGAAAGACTGTAGATTTTTTTTTTTTTTAATACCCAGGAAACTTGTTAAAATAACAAACCATTTCTCACAGCAATTTCCGCAAGACTCTGCTATTTTACGACTAGTAGTTTGATTTTTATAAAACTTATATTAAAATAGTTTATATCGCTTCAGCTAATAGTGGAAGACTGTCTTCACTGCAGTGTTACTGAAAGTAAAATTTAGGAATATCTATGAAAGAAAAAAGCTAATTTGTAAGATAAGACGATAAAAGGGATTTTTTTTAAAAAATGGTTATCTTGAAAAGTAACAACAAAAAAGTTTAAGTGTGTTTTTGCTGATTTTTCTCTACAACTATTTGAAGCTATAAATGACTTAACTCAGTAAAATTCCAAATGTAATTATCTTCTGTACTTAGCCCAAGGCTGTCCATATATCTCTACATTGCTGTCTTGCATACAAAATAGGTTTTTCAATGGCTGGTAACTATATAATGTACAACATTGTTTTAATTTCCCCTCCTTTGCTAACCTCTTGACTACACACAGACACACAGTCAAAGTCGTCCAGTAGAGCAGTGAGGCACAGGGAGATATAAAGAACTCAAAAGCACTTTAAAAGGCAGTTACATAAATGGGTCAGACCTCTGCAATTGCACATTTTAATAAGCTCAAATTTTACCCCCTTTTTTTGCACTTAAACTCATTTGCCACAAATGGCAACAAATAAAAAAATATAGAGACAGTATTATTAGTATATGAGAGACCACCAACAAGCCAGTTCAGGCGGTGTTTTGAAACAAACATTGACAATTTCTTCCATGCCAGCAATTCTAAACCATGGGGAAGGTTTTCCATTCCCCCCTATTTCTCCCTGTCCCCCTCCCTCCCCAGTTTGAGAATAAAATGCATTACACACATACTGATGGAGTCCCAATCAGTGAGACTGCTTAAGCTTCCTACTTCTTTTCAAATTACGGTTTAGAAAAGAGGAAATGAAGCAGCAGTTTCTCTGACAGTTTTTAAAACTACTACAAGTAGGTTTTGAAAACTTGTTTTCAACCATAGTGGGTAAAGCAGAACTCATTTTATTGCTGTCGTGAATTGGATGTGATCAGTACTGAGGTAATATTAAAATAAATTTCATTTTACCTGTAGCTCTAACTGCTGAACAACCTGCATTTGTACTCTACATTGGGCTGTACTTCTATCATCCAGCGCATGCTCATTGTTGAGATGTCTGTAACAATACACAGAAAATCATTAAGTGAAATGGATAAACAAAAAGGAAAAAGTAGTTACCAGGATGAATAAGCAATCTGAGTATTATCCAGCAGGTCTTCATCAATACCTCCGTTTTTTCCTCTGTCCTTCTTTGACTACTGCTTGTTACCATCACTCATTATATTTTAACACATATTTTCAGTAGAAGGTTATTTCAGATCTAAGAGAAACTCTGCTGAACAGCTGTTTTTCACCATTTAGGTAAATGCAAATAAGACTAAGAAATTATGGTAAAAATAATTTTATATTTCTTGACTACAAAATGCTGGATATATCTAAATGGGTACATGCAATACATGAATTAAATCTCAAAGAATCTTCATGTTTTATGTGGATTAGAAATAAATAATATGCTTGTGCAAAGAATGGAAAAATTAACACACAAAATTTGGTGTATAAACATCTGCAAAATATGTACCAATAAAAGAGAGAGTGAGATACATATAGTTACTGTAAAACAAAGTGTATTCTTGAGCTACCAGGTACTAGAACAATTCCCGAAATATGGCACTGCTAGAGTTAAATGTTTGCCACAATGTGTGTTCTGAAAACCATTCCCTATGCAAATGTTTTATAAATCAGCTATTAAACTAAAATTATTCTGAGGCCCAGGCTAAAACCGGGTATATGTTTTTTGGACATTTTGTTTTTGCATTTCTGTGAATACAACAAACAACCACATGCTTCTTTTCCCCACTCCACCCACACCACCCTATCCCTCTCCTTTACTCCAATAGCTTAAAAAAATTGCCTTGCTTTCAAAAATATCTGGCACATGATAAGATAAATTCATCTCTGGTTTAACTGCACTGCCTTCAATGAGTTACATCAGAGAAGAATTTGGCCCACTTAACCTTTGATATGGACTAACCACTTATGAGAAATTGTATAACATTTCGATTTATAAAGTGACTTCTACTCTTGTACAGTACCCACTAACAAGGATTATTTTTTAAATAACAAAACATAGTGCCTGACTCAAACCTCCCACCAGGGGAAATGAGATTAGAATTGGGGCCTCAATATACACAACCCACTCTTCTTA